CAATTTTCCACCAAATTTCGTACTTTTTGTTTTATTACCTTCACAAAAGATTCTCTCATACGATTCATAAGAAAAAATAACAAATTTTTTTTTGAAAATTCTTGGACACTGGTGCGTGACTCCAAATTTGGGCCTTGGACCCTGAAAGGGTTAAACTGCAACATTAACACCCCTCCTTCAGAGTGCAGGCACTGTACTTCCCATCTCCAGGACTCAAGTCCGGCCTGCCGGTTTCCCTGAATCCCTTCATAAATGTTACTTTGCTCACACTCCAACAGCACGTCAAGTATTAAAAACCATTTGTCTCCATTCACTCCTATCAAACACGCTCACGCATGCCTGCTGGAAGTCCAAGCCCCTCGCACACAAAACCTCCTTTACCCCTCCCCTCCAACCCTTCCTAGGCCGACCCCTACCCGCCTTCCTTCCACTACAGACTGATACACTCTTGAAGTCATTCTGTTTCGCTCCATTCTCTCTACATGTCCGAACCACCTCAACAACCCTTCCTCAGCCCTCTGGACAACAGTTTTGGTAATCCCGACCCTCCTCCTAACTTCCAAACTACGAATTCTCTGCATTATATTCACACCACACATTGCCCTCCAGACATGACATCTCCACTGCCTCCAGCCTTCTCCTCGCTGCAACATTCATCACCCACGCTTCACACCATATAAAGAGCGTTGGTAAAACTATACTCTCATACATTCCCTCTTTGCCTCCAAGGACAAAGTTCTTTGTCTCCACAGACTCCTAAGTGCACCACTCACTCTTTTTCCCTCATCAATTCTATGATTCACCTCATCTTTCATAGACCCATCCGCTGACACGTCCACTCCCAAATATCTGAATAGTTTCACCTCCTCCATACTCTCTCCCTCCAATCTGATATTCAATCTTTCATCACCTAATCTTTTTGTTATCCTCATAACCTTACTCTTTCCTGTATTCACCTTTAATTTTCTTCTTTTGCACACCCTACCAAATTCATCCACCAATCTCTGCAACTTCTCTTCAGAATCTCCCAAGAGCAGTGTCATCAGCAAAGAGCAGCTGTGACAACTCCCACTTTGTGTGTGATTCTTTATCTTTAACTCCACGCCTCTTGCCAAGACCCTCGCATTTACTTCTCTTACAACCCCATCTATAAATATATTAAACAACCACGGTGACATCACACATCCTTGTCTAAGGCCTACTTTTACTGGGAAAAAATTTCCCTCTTTCCTACATACTCTAACTTGAGCCTCACTATCCTCATAAAAACTCTTCACTGCTTTCAGTAACCTACCTCCTACACCATACACTTGCAACATCTGCCACATTGCCCCCTATCCACCCTGTCATACGCCTTTTCCAAATCCATAAATGCCACAAAGACCTCTTTAGCCTTATCTAAATACTGTTCACTTATATGTTTCACTGTAAACACCTGGTCCACACACCCCCTACCTTTCCTAAAGCCTCCTTGTTCATCTGCTATCCTATTCTCCGTCTTACTCTTAATTCTTTCAATTATAACTCTACCATACACTTTACCAGGTACACTCAACAGACTTATCCCCTATAATTTTTGCACTCTCTTTTATCCCCCTTTTCCTTTATACAAAGGAACTATGCATGCTCTCTGCCAATCCCTAGGTACCTTACCCTCTTCCATACATTTATTAAATAATTGCACCAACCACTCCAAAACTATATCCCCACCTGCTTTTAACATTTCTATCTTTATCTCATCAATCCCGGCTGCCTTACCCCCTTTCATTTTACCTACTGCCTCACGAACTTCCCCCACACTCACAACTGGCTCTTCCTCACTCCTACAAGATGTTATTCCTCCTTGCCCTATACACGAAATCACAGCTTCCCTATCTTCATCAACATTTAACAATTCCTCAAAATATTCCTTCCATCTTCCCAATACCTCTAACTCTCCATTTAATAACTCTCCTCTATTCTATCGATTGAGCACAAGAAATCGCCAAGTCAACTGTTTCAACTACAAAATAAAGTGATCGGAAATTGTTAATTTGGCCAATTTAACACAAAGTTCAAAATATTCCAATTTCAAAATAGGGTCCAGAATGAACAATGTAGGCATTCCTGGCACTAAACTAACATTTCCTCTGTTCATTAGTTATGTTTTGAGGCTTTACAAATAAATTCCATTTTGATTTTTTATTCACATAAGGAATTTTTATTCACACCAAAAAATAGAAGATTTACTGTTATGCAATACTGTAATAATTGTATAAATATCATCACCATATTTGTGAATGTATATTAGACCCACCAGCTGACGTGTATTAGACGTGTGGAGGTCGTTTTTTTACTCTTGAATATCGGCAAAAATTTTAACATTTCTGCTAATTTGAGCTCAGTTTTCAAGCCTTTTTCCAGTGCTAAAACCAATCAAAATCATCTCTATTTCTGTAATATGTCTTCCATTCTATCAAATGAGACCAAGAAATCGCAAATACAACTATAAAAAACATACGAAAAAACACTGCAAAGTTGCTGTTTTAATCGAAAAATCATGATTTCATTTTTTTCTCTCATTATACACAGTGTGCTGCAGGATCTGTTTTATGTGGTGCACACATACCACATAGATGTATTCTCTCATATCTAGGCCCAAATGTACCACTCACAGTTTATCAGAGTGAGCTGAGCTCATGGTGTAGATCTACGGTTTGGACCCTGAACGTAAAGCCGTAGATCTACGGGACGGACCCTGAAAGGGTTAAGAAGGCAAAGAAGGGAATGTATGAAAGTATAGTAGTACCAACACTCTTATATGAGTGTAAATGCAACAGCGAGGAGGCGGTTGGAGGCAGTGGAGATGTCCTGTCTAAGGGCAATGTGTGGTGTAAATATTATGCAGAAAATTCGGAGTGTGGAAATTAGGAGAAGGTGTGGAGTTAATAAAAGTATTAGTCAGAGGGCTGAAGAGGGGTTGTTGAGGTGGTTTGGTCATTTAGAGTGAATGGATCAAAGTAGAATGACATGGAGAGCGTATAAATCTGTAGGGGAAGGAAGGCGGGGTAGGGGTCGTCCTCGAAAAGGTTGGAAGGAAGGGGTAAAGGCGGTTTTGTGGGCAAGGGGCTTGGACTTCCAGCAATCATGGGTGAGCATGCTCAATAGGAGTGAATGGAGACGAATGGTATTTGGGACCTGACGAGCTGTTGGACTGTGAGCAGGGTAATATTTAGTGAAGGGATTCAGGGAAACCAGTTATTTTTATATAGCTTGACTTGAGTCCTGGAAATGGGAAGTACAATGCCTGCACTCTAAAGGAGGGGTTCAGGATATTGGCGGTTTGGAGGGATATGTTATGTATCTTTATATGTATATGCTTCTAAACTGTTGTATGTGTGATTATGTGTGAGTGAGGTGAAGGTGTTGAATGATGATGAAAATATTTTCTTTTTGGGGACTTTCTTTTTGGGTCACCCTGCCTCGGTGGGAGACGGCCCATTTGTTAAAAAAAAAAAAAAAAAAGTTTCCTCTTTTTCTGGGTCACCCTACCCCTCAGTGGAAGACAGCTAATGTGTTAATCATTATGTTTGTGAATAATCATTTTTAATAAAAATCTATAACAACTGCATTGTATAATATACACTTAATTTTTTTTTTTTACCATAACAGCCATTTCACACCAAGGTTCCTTGGAAAGCAGGCTAGAGAGAGAGACAAATTTTTTAGAGGGTTTGGTCCCAAATCTGCACACAGAAATAACTTCTTATGAAAGTATGAGACTCAACAGACACTGCAAAATACCTTCAGATTAAAGAAGGGTTGCCTTGATTACTCCAAGATCACATAATAAGTGTAAAGGCTTATACATAAGGACAATTAATGACAGACCCTTGACTGTCTTTAAGATGGAGCTTGATAAGTTCCTCCATTCAATTCCTGATTAGCATGACTGGTGCTTATACTGGCCTTTGTGTAGCTAACACCAATGGCCTGTTTGGCCAGGCTACCCACCACGAGGTTTGTTTTGGAACCAGGTCTTGGGGTCATTGACCCTTCAAACTGTCTTCAGGAAGTGGTGATGCCAATCTCGTTCTTCCCTTCCAACAGACAGCCAGTATAGAAATAAGGTATGGTATCTCAAAAAAAGAAAACACATTCACTATCATTCATTCAATAGCTGTATTGCCAGAGGTGCATGGAAATCACAGTTCAAATGGCCAACCAAATCATAACATCCCCACCCATCTTCCAGCATGGAATAACTGTACCTCTCACCTCCAGAATTCAAGTCCAATTAACCAGTTTTCCTTGAGCCTCTTCATAAAAGTTGCCCTGCTTGCATTCCAATGGCATATCAAAAAAAAAAAAAATTTGTCTACACCCTGATCTAACACTCATGGTTCGTAGAATCACCTTGCACACTGAGGGTCCAGGATGGATCCCCAGTATGGGTGAAATCGGCATTTTCCTTACACCCACTGCTGCTCTTCAACTAACAGTAAGTAGGTACCTGGGTGTTAGCCAACAGGTCGCATCCTGGGGGACAGGATTAAAAGGATCCCAATGAAAATAAGCCAGAGTCCCTGATAATGTACCAACTTCATTGGATTTTCCTAGGTGGCTAAAAATCTTAACAAACTCTTATCCTATCTCATTTCATCTTAACATTCCTGGGACATCTACTTCTTTAATCCATGTTCAATAGGCCAGAAAAAAAAAGACTGAAGCAAAACATGGCATGTCTTAATTTACAAGCAAGTTGTGTTCCAAGTCTTTCAGTTCAAAAAGAAAACAATAGTACATTGTGCAGGAAGATGTAAATGATTCCAAAGTGCTACACTTCTAAGCGTGGATGTACGCAAGTTGGAGCATTTGTATACTGGGAGACCTTATGTAATGGAAATAAAGAAAACAGTACTATCTACAATCTATTCAAAATAAAATACAATACTATCAAAATGTGTGGTTGTAAACCTGGAAAGAGAGCTACAGCTGAAACTATTATATAAATACTCTACCTGTTTCATGCAGAAAATGGAGATCTTTTTTCATAGCTATAACATTTGCAATAATCTTGAGTGCAAGTGGAGTTACATAATCATCTTTTTCATCAACAACTTGTTTAAGAGTCATTGCCAGATCATAGTCAAGAAAAGCTGTAATAGAACAACTATTTAAGTCATTACCAGATCAGAGTTAAAAAAAAAAAAAAGCCATAACAGAACAATTATTTAATAAGAAAAATACTTCCCCTCCAAGTGGTGCCTACCTGTACTCACCTATTTGTACTCACCTATTTGTAGTTGCAGGGGTCGATTCATAGCTCCTGGCCCCACCTCTTCGCTGATTGCTACTAGGTCCTCTCTCTCCCTGCCCCATGAGCTTTATCATACCTCGCCTTAAAACTATGTATGGTTCCCGCTGTGTTCATATACAGTGGACCCCCGGTTAACGATATTTTTTCACTCCAGAAGTATGTTCAGGTGCCAGTACTGACCGAATTTGTTCCCATAAGGAATATTGTGAAGTAGATTAGTCCATTTCAGACCCCCAAACATACACGTACAAACGCACTTACATAAATACACTTACATAATTGGTCGCATTCGGAGGTGATCGTTATGCAGGGGTCCACTGTACTGTGGATCAGTCAGCTTGGATTTGGCCACAGAAGCTACAATGTCTAAAATTATTTATAAAACAGCTGAATTCTTTCAACACGTGAAAAAATGCCTGCATGAATATAAGTGAGGTTGCTGGATCAGTTTTCAGCACTCTTTACACTATCCAAGTATTTCATTCACATCTCTGTTTCAAAGAATCTGACAGCAAGACAGACATGAAGTTAAGTAGATCCTCTCTGTTGTTTTTTTTTTTAATTTATGAGCACACTGTGCTTCACTTTCCATCTGTCTGCCAGATTACCATTTTACAGTGAAATATGAAAGTTTTTCAGAGGATAACTTTGCTTGTACATTAATTTACGACCCATAATGCTATCTGGTTTGGTCTTTAGTTTTTTTTTTGTTTACATCCGGTCACCCTGCCTCAGTGGGAGACATATTAAAAAAAAATCCAGTAATAACTTAACCTTTCTTCAGATATTTCAATGTCCTTTTTTTTTTCTTATTTTTGTAGTTGTTTGGGGTTTAAATATGCAAATTCATAAACACACTATTGAACTTAATAATTAGTAACACACATTTCTTCCTCCTATTCTGTGATTTTTGATTTCATTCTTAAAACTCTGAATTCTGTATTTCACTTTTAATTTACTTTTAATAAGGAATAAAATTTAATTATAATTCACCATGTCAAAAAATTGAAATGGTCCCCTGGCCCTGGTAAATAACTAAGAACAAAGAATCTACATGGTAGCATTCTCAGGGTTCTAGCCTGAAAAATAAATTAAATTTTACTTTTCCAAAACTCCCAATCAAAATACTTAAGGCTGAATAACTATGAGTTTTAATAGACATGCCTGAGGCTGAGTAAATATGGGTCTTAACAGATATGCAGTAGTACATGTGTAATAGAGGGAGAGTATAAACAATAATGTGAGAAAATTCAACTAATCAATAGTAATGAGGCTCTAATTTATGTGAATGAGTTTGTATACAGAAACAGACTATGACTGGTAATGAAAGATATACTGCATCAAATACCATCCTGTGGTATAGCAGTGAAGATTATTAAATACATACTGATAGTGACAAAATATGCAGTGATTAATTTATATTATATACATACTGCAAAATCAATACAAAATCCATACAGTTCTTTTTATTGAAGTCACTGGAGCAGCTTATATACCAGAGCGCCCTCACTCCAGCATACAGTGTGGCAAAGTAGGTGGGTGAACTTAAGATTTGTAGAGGGGGCAGTCTGGTCCAAAAATCCACAGAATCTATCCAATCTGTTTCATTAAGCCAATCTTTTATCCACAGCTCTGAAGATCCTTCCAGCAAGCCTCGATATTGAAGGTATTGCTGGCATATTCGTTTTCCAATCTAAACAAAATAAGAGAGAATGTTACATGGTACAACAAACTATCAACACTACAGCATTTAAATCTGTAATGCCCAATATACATTATTATTCATGTTCTAATATTATCATTGTAATAATATTCATTTGTAGGTAGTAGGTTGGTAAACAGCAACCGTCCAGGGAGGTACTACCGTCTCGCCAAGTGAGTGTAAAACGAAAGCCTGTAATTGTTTTACATGATGGTAGGATTGCTGGTGTCTTTTGTCTGTCTCATAAATATGCAAGATTACAGGTAAGTCTTGCTACTTCTACTTACACTTAGGTCACACTACACATACATGTACAAGCATATATATACACATCCCTCTCGGTTTTCTTCTATTTTCTTTCTAATTCTTGTTCATTTTTATTTCCTCTTATCTCCATGGGGAAGTGGAACAGAATTCTACCTCTGTAAGCCATGCGTGTCGTAAGAGGCGACTAAAATGCCGGGAGCAAGGGGCTAGTAACCCCTTCTCCTGTATATATTACTAAATTTAAAAGGAGAAACTTCAGTTTTTTCTTTTGGGCCACCTCACCTTGGTGGGATACGGCTGGTATGTTGAAAGAAGAAGAATAATATTCATTCTATGTAGTAGGTTGGTAGACAGCAACTGCCCAGGGAGGTACTACCGTCCTGCCAAGTGAGTGTAAAATGAAAGCCTGTAATTGTTTTACATGATGGTAGGATTGCTGGTGTCCTTTTTTGTCTCATAAACATGCAAGATTTCAGGTACGTCTTGCTACTTCTACTTACACTTAGCTCACACTACACATACATGTACAAGCATATATATATATATACACACCCCTCTGGGTTTTCTTCTATTTTCTTTCTAGTTCTTGTTCTTGTTTATTTCCTCTTATCTCCATGGGGAAGTGGAACAGAATTCTTCCTCCGTAAGCCATGCGTGTTCTAAGGGGTGACTAAAATGCCAGGAGCAAGGGGCTAGTAACCCCTTCTCCCGTATAAATTACTAAATTTAAAAAGAGAAACTTTCGTTTTTCGTTTTGGGCCACCCTGCCTTGGTGGGATACGGCTGGTTTGTTGAGAAAAAAAAAACAATATTCATGGGGAAGAACTAAACCATGAGGGCCACATAGCACCTGGAAAATGAGAGAGAGTGAGGGGTTAATCAGGACTGAGGAAGGAGAGGTTAGCTCCATTTTCTGGATCGAACATCCCCTCACCAACATATGCTTGCTGAAAGAAGACAACCAGTTGCTTTATAAATAAACACCATCACACTCACACATCAGCCACTCATTAATAAACATAGTCCAGTTCAGTGATTATTATTAACTGCACCATCAGAAAATATGGCAAGATGATAGAACTTGATATCAGAAGTGAGATGTACAGACTCTGCTTGCAAAATTTATACCAGACATTAAATGACCATTCAAAGGATCAGCTGCACCCAGACAAATATTAATGCATGGGCTTGCATATTAAATATCCCGATGTGTACCAGTCACTCAGTACAGAAACCCATCACATAGGTGTGAAAGCAATGACACCTGGATAGGTGAACAAGGGGCAGCAGGTGTAAACCACACTTATCTATATGCACCTGGAAGGATGTATTGGCAAGTCTATCTACACCTGCTGCCCCTATTCACCTGACAGCAAACAGTCATCCCAGAACTCAACATTGCTTCCTTTCCTAACTCCCTAACAGGATGTGAGTGAGGGGGAGGTGCGTGTGGCATTACGTAGAATGAAAGGGGGTAAAGCAGCTGGAACTGATGGGATCATGACAGAAATGTTAAAAGCAGGGGGGGTATATAGTGTTGGAGTGGTTGGTATTTTTGTTTAATAAATGTATGAAAGAGGGGAAGGTACCTAGGGATTGGCAGAGAGCATGTATAGTCCTTTTATATAAAGGGAAGGGGGACAAAAGAGACTGTAAAAATTATAGAGGAATAAGTTTACTGGTATACCAGGAAAAGGTACGGTAGGGTTATAAATGAAAGAATTAGAGGTAAGACAGAATGTAGGATTGCGGATGAGCAAGGAGGTTTCAGAGTGGGTAGGGGATGTGTAGATCAAGTGTTTACATTGAAGCATATATGTGAACAGTATTTAGATAAAGGTAGGGAAGTTTTTCTTGCATTTGTGGTTTTAGAAAAGGCATATGATGAGTGGATAGGGGAGCAATGTGGCAGATGTTTGGGAAGTATATGGAATAGATAGTAAGTTATAAATGCTGTAAAGTTTTTATGAGGATAGTGAGGCTCAGGTTAATGTGTGTAGAAGAGGGAGACTATTCCCGGTAAAGGTGGGTCTTAGACAGGGATGTATATGTCACCATGGTTGTTTAATATATTTATTGATGGGGTGTAAAAGAAGTAAATGCTAGGGTGTTAGGAGAGGGGTGGGATTAAATTATGGGAAATCAAATACAAAATGGGAATTGACACAGGGTTTCTTTTTGCGATGATACTGTGCTTATGGGAGATTCTAAAGAAAAATTGCAAAGGTTAGTGGATGAGTTTGGGAGTGTGTGTAAAGGTAGAAAGTTGGAAAACGAACATAGAAAAGAGTAAGGTGATGAGGGTATCAAATGATTTAGATAGAGACAAATTGGAAACAAAATTTGGGGAAAGGGGTATGGAAGAAGTGGGAAAGTTTTCCCGATATTTGGGAATTGACGTGTCGGGGGGGATGGATTTATGAAGGATGAGGTTAATCATAGAATTGATGAGGGAAAAAAAGGGAGTGGTGCATTGGGGGATATGTGGAGACAAAATGTTATCTATGGAGGCAAAGAAGGGAATGTATGAAAGTATAGTAGTACCAACACTCTTATATGGGCGTGAAGCTTGGGTTGTGAAAGCAGCAGTGAGGAGGCGGTTGGAGGCAGTGGAGATGTCCTGTCTAAGGGCAATGTGTGGTGTAAATATTATGCACAAAATTGGAGTGTGGAAATTAGGAGAAGGTGTGGAGTTAATAAAAGTATTAGTTAGAGGGCTGAAGAGGGGTTGTTGAGGTGGTTTGGTCATTTTTGGGCCACCCTGCTTTGGTGGGATATTCAAATTCAAATTCAAATTCAAAGTTTATTCTCTATAAAGATTACAATGTCGAATTTACAGAATTTGGTTGTTGTGTGGTTTACATGTAGTTAAATAGTGATTACAGAGTGTACCACTAGAACGCCTAGCATGGCTAGGCATTTCGGGCAGACTTAGTTTAATTCTTTATTTTAAAATATTACAAATTATGAGGTAAGTTGGTATTATGGCTAAGTGACTAAATACTAGTTTGTGAGTTTAGCAATGTGAATGCTTTTGTTTTGGCACGTACATAGTTTCAGTATTGGAGTATTTATAGGATTCATTATTTTAAGATTGAGATTAATATTTCTGTTTATGGTCAAATGGGTGAGTGAGTGTAAGTGTGAACCCCCAGGTGGTATTCGTGTAGTTAGTTGATGGGGTTTATCAGGGAGATAAGATGTTTTCTAATGGTAGTTTTGAAGGTGATGAATGTGTCTGCTGTTCTAGAGTTCTCAGGTAGGGTGTTCCAGATTTTAGGGCCTTTGACATACATTGAATTTTTGTAAAGGTTTTAGTCAGACATGGGGAATGTCGTAGAGATGTTTGGGGTCTGGTGTTATGCCTGTGGGTTCTGTCACAACTATCAAGAAAGCGTTTTAGGTCAAGGTTGATATTGGAGTTTAAGGTCCTGTAGATGTAGATTGCACAGTAGTAAGTGTGGATGTACTGAACAGTGAGTAAGTTTAAAATCTATGAAGAGTGGGGGGGTGTTGCCAGGGATGGGATTTAGTGATTATTCTTACTGCAGCTTTTTGTTGGGTTATTATTGGCTTTAGGTGTGTTTCTGGAGTTGATCCCCAAGCAAAAAATAGCATAGTTTTGAGGTATGGATAAATAAGTGAGTGGTTTAGTGTGAGAAGGGCATTTGCGGCACGTAGTATCGTATCTTGGAGAGGATCCAACTGTTTTGGATACTTTTTTGGTTATGTGTTGGATATGGGTGTTGAAATTCAGGTTGTTGTCAAGGTATTAGGCCTAGGAATTTGCCCTCATTATGTCTGGTAATTAGTGTTGTCGATCTTAATGTTAATTTGTGCATCTCCTGCTCTGCTACCAAACATAATATAGTAGGTTTTGTCAGAGTTAAGCGTAAGTTTATTGGCTGTCATCCAAGTCGATATTTTGATCAGCTCCTCGTTAACAATGATGTTGAGGTGGCAAGATTAGGGCGAGAGATGACATAAGTCGTGTCGTCAGCAAAGAGAATGGGTTTCAGGTGTTGGGATACGTTTGGAAGATCATTGATGTATATGAGGAAGAGCAGGGGACCAAGGACACTTCCTACGGAACTCCAGTATCAAGTGGCCGTGTTGTTGATGCTGTGTCTTTAATGGTAAATACTGATACCTATTAGTAAGGTAACATTTGAAATAAGCAAGCGCATGGCCTCTTATACCGTAATGGTCAAGTTTGTGGAGTAGGATGTCGTGGTCTACTGTGTCAAAAGCTTTTCTTAGGTCAATAAAAATTCCTAGTGGATATTCCTTATTTTCCAATGCTGTGTAAAGCAGATCTAGCATTTTTATGATTGCATCATTAGTGCTTTTATTTTTCCTAAATCCAAATTGGCAGGGGTTGAGTATGTTTTGTGCTGTTATAAATGAATATAGTCTCCTGTGCACGAGTTTCTCAAAGATTTTGGATAGCAATGGTAAGTTTGATATTGGCCTATAGTTGTTTAAGTCTGTAGATATGGCCAGTTTGTCGAAAGAAAAGACTTTTAAACAAGTTTTTGCACCATTAACAGATATCAATTAAATTTTGGAGCTCAAATTATGACAAATATACTATGTAAATGCACCATTTATTTATTTATTTATTAATTTGAACATGATACATTGCAGTACAAGGAAATACATGCCAAAGCCCCTTGTATGCAGAGCATTATGGGCAGGCTTAAAATTAACTTAAGATTAACTAA